CTTCTTATCTAAGCAATAAGCAGGGGGCTGGGGAGGTACCTTAGAGACAATCACCTATGCCCAAGCACAATTAGCCACAAGGCGGCTAGGATGGGAAGGTTTAGCCCAGAGAAGCAAGGGCTACTCTGGGGATGGAGGCACAGCCTTCCTTCCCGCAGAGGCTGGCCTGGGCTCACTGACCTCCTGGGGCTCATCCCCACTGACTGGGGGTTTTGCTTTATGGGGATAGGACAGTTTATCCTTGGAGAAAAAAAAAATTATAGGAAGGTATTTTGATCTATAGATTCAATGCAATTCTAATAACACACACACACACACACACACACATTAATAAGATGACTATAAAATGTGTAAGAAAAGGTAAAAGAACCAGAACAGCCAAATAATTTTGGAAAATGTCTCCTTGGGCAGTGGGGAAGAGTAGGGGTGACTTCAGCATGCCTGGTGAGGGGTGAGTCCTTCACACATCATATGGGGGAACAAACAGGTTTTCCATTCCTGAAGAAGGCAGGCCTGCTCCAGTCCTGCTTGATACATACTCCTACTTCCTCAGTAATACCCTCCGGCCTCACAGTGTTTCCGTCTAGATAACAGAATCTGTAAAATGAGGCCACTTAGTTTACTTCCAAGACCATCTAATGTTCCCACTCATTCATTTCTTGATTACCTGTGTTTACTCCTACTTCCATCCATCTTGCTGTTTCCCAAAATACTTCCTACTTAAAATCAGCACAGGTTTTATGTGTAAACTCACCTGTTAAAGGTGAGTCCTGAGCCCTTGAACTCTCTCAGAGGGTCCCAGTGTCATCCTTCTGCTCTGAGCACCAGAACTGGCTGAGAAAGCAGGTATGGCATTTGCTCCACATGAGGTGAACAGAATTTTATTTTTCTTCCCATTTTTCAGTGAAGATATTGAAGCTGACTGAGACAATATGATTTTCCCGGGGTCAGAGAGCTAATAACTGGCAGGGCGTAGGCTCAAACCTGGGAGCCATTTCCAAATCCTGAGCTTGCTCCATCTGTCTAGTTCCAACCATTTCAGTGCCTGCTGTTGAATCAAGAATTGCCTCAACATTTATTTCCCTAAGTCCTCAAGCAGGGAAAAAAAGTGCATGATTAACTGCTGAAACAAGAATTGCCTCAACATTTATTTCCCTAGGTCCCCAAGGGGAGAAAAAAGTATATAATCAACTAGCTATGCCAATCGATGGAACTAGCCACCAGCCAGGGGTCTGTATACTGTCTAAAGGCCACTAGACTTCTGCAAGGAATGCCAAGCCATATAGAGGGTCACCGGGGCAGGCTGATCCTGCTTCCAGTCAGCTGACCAACTCTCACAGGCAGCAGGTCCCTGGGATCACCCAGTGGTTGAAGTTCAAAGCTCAGTGGCAGTGTGGGATGGAACAGCTCAGGGAGGAACCTGGGTCAGGGTATAAGAAACATTGGGAAGAAAGGATGGAGAGTGCCCTCCTCCACTGTGGGGCACTGGGTCAGGAGAGCAGAAGAGATAATCAGCTTGGGCCCCACTCTCCCTCAGTGTCACTCCTGAGATAGGCCCCCTAGGACACTGTGCAAGGCTGTGGTTGGGGTTTATAAGTGGGACCAGGGGGTTGGAGTTGCCTGTTTGTGCCTCTCTAGTAAAAGACTGCAGCACCCCACTTCCTCATTGTAGTTTCAGACTTCTGGGCCTTTGCTACCCATCCTCCAGATTCTAGACCTAATTCAAGAGGCATGTTTTCCATGAGGCCCTATGCTGTTTCCCTCAGTCAAAGGCAGCCTGCAGTGGGCACTTCATTCCTTGGAAAGATTCAGAAATGCTGGTGCCTATGGAGCTTCCACCTGCTGCCTAGGCTGATATGAACTGAAGTGGGCTATTCTCAACTCCTAGGAGCCCAGGAAGCCAAGATGCTCACTAGTCTCTGGCCTTCAAAGTCATTCCTTCAGCAAAGCTGGAAGGTCACTCCTTTCTCCTCAGTGGCAAAGGGAACTGTGGCAAGGGCTGTGGCCTGGGAGCCCTCTGGGGTCCACCGCCAATCCACGAGCAAACTACCAAAGTCCCTTTCCAGTTCAGATGAGGAAAGGGGACCTGTCCCTGTACTGAATGCAGCTTTTGTAGCACCTTATTCTTCCTGGAAAGCCCAAGTCCTGGACCCTGCAGCTCAGGGTCAAACCCAATGGGTCTGGCCTCATATTACAAAGACCAAGACTCAGGGTTCTTCTGGGAGCTATACATGTAGGCATATCTCCTTGCTGAGACTGGACTTCTTGACAACCAAGGAAGTGACTGAGTAGTGGGCCCTATGAGGTAGAGAAGCCTACCTGCTCCTCTAGAGGGGCAGCCCTGAAGCCAAGCTCCTGATTACCACTTCCAGACCCATTCCACCACTCTACTGCCTCAAAAGCGGCCAGATTAGAGAAAAGCGGAAGAACACAATGGGTTGAAGCAGAACCCAATCCAATGTCCAGCATGCTTGATTCCTGGGCTACTATCAGAAAGGGACAGGGGACCTGCTCTGATGTGGCCTTGCAGGGTCAGGAGGGATCTCAGAGGAGTCTTGTGTTCCACCATAAATGACCTGTTAAGACCTAGCAAATGAGGGCTGGGGATGTGGCTCAAGCGGTAGCGTGCTTGCCTGGCATGCATGCGGCCTGGGTTCGATCCTCAGCACCACATACAAACAAAGATGTTGTGTCCGCCGAGAACTAAAAAATAAATATTAAAAAAAAATTCTCTCTCTCTCTTTAAAAAAAAAAAAAAAAAAAGACCTAGCAAATGAGGACCGAGGGTGTGGCTCAGTGGCTGAGTGCTTGCCCAGCAAGGTCCTGGGTTTGATCCCCAGCATTGCAAAAAAAAAAAAAAAAAAAAAAAAGCGTGTGTGTAAAATAAAACCACACATCACACATCACAAAGTCTTCCCCTGATCCTACTTCCTCCCTGCTTCTCAGCACTAATCTGAAGTCATTTCTCCCCATCATGTTTACACTCTGCTTTTGCTTTCTTCTAGCACAGGACATCTTAACATTTCCTGTTGTCAACAGGCTGCGTCCTTTTAGAGAACACCAGCTCCCTGAGGGTAGGGATTGTCCATGGCTGCCTCCCAGAAGCTTACATTGGTACCCCACAAAGAGCAGATGACCAATGAAGTTGGTGTTGACCAAGTACAGGCATGTAATATCATTTTGTTTCCCAATTTTATAGAGATGCTCTTGCACTGTAGGTCTCAATTCTGAAACCTGTTTTCTCCATCATTCAACACCATGTTGAGACTCAACAGTGTGTTCCAACATTCAAGTATTCTACTGTCTGACCCACCCACCACTCACTCCTCTTTTCTCAGCAAAGAGTAGGAGAATCAGAAAAGACCACCCAGAAAAATCAAAGACAGCCCAGGATCTGGAACTCTGGGCTCTATTCAGCAACACAGAACCTAAGAACAGGCCAGAAGAAAACCAAAGGGCCTCTAAGTAGTCCCCAAAGAGCAGAAACAACTGTGTAGGCACCCACTGGAGTCATTTAAGTCTGGGGTCACCTGGAAAAGGAGAACTACTTGGCTTTTACCTTTCCATCACCAGCTGAGGACCCTCAGGGGGTTAGGGTGCAACAATAAGCACAGAGCCCAGTGCCAGGGACCCAATCTCCCATCAGCACCACGAGCCTCTCAGATTAGAGATGTCATCATGTCTAAACCCATGCGGGGTGGCAAGAACCCTGCAGGGCTACCCAGAGGCTGCTGTGAAAGCAGTTTGTAACTGGAGTGAGATCTGCTCCTGATCAAGGAGGCAGAGATGAGGCCTGCTCTTGGGGAGGTTTCTTCATGCTGCTGAAGACAACAAAGGGTTGTGGCATTAGGAAGGTCTGCTCCAGTGTCCCTGTCCAGATTTCCCAGGGAAGCTCTCCCTCCTTTCTAACTGTCCCTCCCCAAAGCACAGCCCACTGCACCAAGATCTACTCCTCCCATCAGCAGACACCACCACAGGTCCTGTGCCTGAAGGAAGCTGCCCAGGGCAGAAGCAACCAAGGATTCTTGTCCATGAAGATGCAGTTTGATCACAGGCAGACTGTCCCAGTTCAGGGGACAGTCTGCCTGTGACTGTGGGCATGACATGGAGAGTGTGAGCCCTCTGAGACTTCAGGTGTGTGGATTCTACTTAGGCATAAAGACTATTCTTACCTCACAACAATCCATCCAGCCCCACATGCTGGATGGATCCTGCAAATTATTCCCAAGTAGTAGTAGTAGTAGTAGTAGTAGTATTGGCAGTGCTAGAAATTGAACCAGGGCCTATGCATGCTAGGCTAGTGCTCTGTCACTGAGCCACACACCCAGCCCTCCCCAAAATTTTTTTATGCAAAGCAGCATCAGTAGCTCTGTAGAGAGCATAGCCCTTAGGACTGGGAATGTGTGGGGTGGATCTTGTGCCTGCCACATGAGGGAAGAGTGTTCTAGCCCCTCACATGGGCTGTGCTGGGGCAACTTAAGTTAACTCATCCAGAGGACTACATTTGACAAAGATAAATAAATGAACTGCTGAGGGAGCACAGCTCAAGAGAAGTCAAAAAGCAGCTTTTGAGCTGAGCTCCAACAAGAAAACCAAGCTGTCAAGGATGGAAGAGAGATAAGAAAGAAGGAGTCCCAGGGTGAGAGGGCAGTGTGAACAGACGAGTGGACACAGTGCTGTTCAGGAAATGGCCGGTGGCCAGAAGAGGCTAGAAAAGGCCACAAGGCCCAGGCAGAGCTTCCCACATTTTGCATGTGATGTGGAACACAAAAGATGAGTGAAAAGACAGTGTGAGGTCAGGGGAAAAAAGCCAGTGGCAAAGAGCCAGACACCAAGTGGGGGAAAGGACGCAGGGAAGGCCCAACTAGTGAGAGGGTTGAGGAGGGAGTGGGGGCAGGGCTCTGAAACAGGGCTGGAAGGAAAGAGACTCAGCAAGCAACAGGTGCTGGCGAAAAGAGCAGGGCAGGGAACAGCATGACGGGAGCTGCACGCAGTGCTACCTGTGCTTTTCGCCTTCCTCCTCTTCTTCTCTGAGTTGCTTGGTCTTTGGCTCCCCATCTTCTTTGTCCTGAAAAGAAAGGGAGAACACCATCTGCTCAGATGAATGTTCCTACTTCCAGTCTAGACCACCTGGGCGGCCAGTGAAGAACAGGACATCTCAGGAGTAAGGCACTAAGTCTAGAGAAGTCAACTCAGTCTTCTAGCACCTGATAGACACAATGCTGGAGCTTCACTTCCCACCCTTCACTGCCTGGATAGAATTTAAAATCTACAACCCTATGGGGCTCAAGTGGTAGCGCGTTCACCTGGCATGCATGAGGCACTGGGTTTGATTCTCAGCACCACATAAAAGATATTGTGTCCACCTAAAACTAAAAACTAAAAAATAAAATAAAATCTACAACCCTAGCCCAGGCCCAGGTACACAGTAACCCTCAAGACCAAAGAAGAGGGTCTGGATATAAGCACTCCTGAGATAGCGGAGACTGGAGGTCACCAGCAACCTCTCCAGAAATACCCATCTGGTTCCCTTGAGGAGTCACACAGCTTAGACCAGGACCAGGTTTGTAACAAGACTCACTGCCCAGGCCTGAAGTGTACCCAGAGAGACAAAGGCAAGGGAAATTCATTTGAAGTTTATGTGGGAAAAATGTCTTCCAAATCTGGTTCTTCTGGGGGTATAGCTCAGTGGCCTAGCATGTGTGAGCTCTGGGTTAGATCCCTAGCACTGGAAAAAAAAAAAAAAAAAAACCACAAAATCAGTCTGAGTCTTCTGCCTTCCTCCATCTCTAATTTTTTTCTTTTTTTAAAAATTTGTAGATGGACCCAATACATTTATTTTATTTATTTATATGTGGTGCTCAGGATCAAACTCAGTGCCTCATATATGTAAGGCAAGCATTCTACCACTGAGTTATAACCCCGCCCCTCTTTTCTTTTTTGAGACAGGGTTTCACTATGATGCCAGGCTAGTCTTGAACTTGTAGGCTCAAGTGATCCTCCTGCTTCAGCCTCTGAGGAGCTGGGACTAAAGGTGTGTACCACTGAACCCAGCTCTTCATAGTTTGTCTAGAGAAGTTGTATTTATCTTAACCTTGACACAGTATGCTTGTGCTGCAGGTGCCCTGAGGGCCACAACAGAAGGAAACTGCCAAGCAGCTCCCCCTTCAGAAGAAAAAAGTCCCTAGCCTTTCCTGCTCTCTGTTATTACTGCTATTAGATCAGCCTGCCCTGTGGACAAACCAGAACACTGGCCAGAACCCTGTGTGATCAGCCCTACCAGTGTATGTGTGAGTACTCATATCCAGGGCCCGACCAAGAAACCCTGAATGCCAGGGTCGGCCCCCTGGAAGGTGTCAAAGCTCACTTCGTTGAACAACCTCTGACTTGCTAGAGCAGTGGTTTGAGAAGACACCTGGAAGCTCCTTGCATTAGCAACTGCTCTGATGATATTAGGTGACCTGCAATGACACACAAATCCATATAAGCCTGGAGAGACTCTCCTAGAAGTTTGTGTCTGCCACTGACAACTGCCTCCCTGGGAGTGTACCAAAAAGTGCACAAATCACTTTTTGGTGATGTTCATGGTAGAGACCTTGAGGGTGGTGACCGGACCCCACCTTTCCGGGCCATACAACCTACAGGGAAGGAGACCAGACGAGAGGCCTAGTCCAGAGAAAGGCTTCCAGAACGGGAACACATCTTTTCAACCAGGGCAGCTCCACTCATGGGAATAAGACAGCAAGAACAAATAACTGAACAACTGACAGCAGCCATGTGAGAGGTTAACACAGTTCTCAAGGGATGGGTGAAGGACTGTCTCTGGAGGGATGCCAAGATCTGGGTGTCACAGGATGGGGAGGGAGGAGCAGGAGGGACATTCCCAGTGGGGTGCACACCTTGAGCAAAGGCAGAGTGAGCACTGCTGCGGTAGCAGAGGGGAAGGTGAAAGTGTAAGGTTGTCAAGGCAGGTGGGGCTGATCACAGAGAGCTCTGGCCAGTATTCTAAGGGAGAGAGAAGGGACCAGGAAGGATCTGCTGACATCTGCCAGGCTGGGGGACAGGCAGAACCTGGGGATGGCCCGAGAGGAGAAGAGTGGAGCACAAATGTAACAGGGAAACAAGTTAGTGTTCTCCAAGTGGCTCGCAGACTGCCAGGTCCTGGATGGGGCTTCCACAGAGGCCCAGCTGACACATGAGCCCCTCACTGAGTAAAGGCTCCCAAAGGAAGCAAGCTAAGAGCCTGGACATTCAAACAAAAGTTCCCCCACTGCCAGCCCGAGGACTCCCTGAAGGCTAGAGGCACTGTCTCAGGGGAAAGGATGACACCTGCCCTTGGCAAGTAAGTTAGGGACAGAACAGCAGAAAGGACTCCGCTCTGCCACAGCGGATAGGTGAGCAAGGTCCCCAACTCCAGAGAAAGGCTTCTTTAAAAGCTCTGTGCACCTGGCAGAACAGGGAGAAAGCTGGGGAGGATCATCCTCTGGGAGGAGTACTCCACCAATACCATGCCCTTCCCGCCCCGGGCAAGGTCAAACAGTCAAACTGCTGCCATGGCTTATGGAGTCCCAGGGACACTCAAGTGCCTTGGCTAAGGCCAGGGTATTCACAATAAATGAGAAAACATCCAAGTATGTAAATGACATTTTAAAACATCACCCAGCTTGCTGGCGGGTAGGAAGCAGCACTGCTCTGCAGACAGTACAATGAGGTTAAGGAAGACCCCTGCCTGGGATGCTGATCAGAACAGGGGATTGAGGCAGAGAAAGACACATCATGGCAAGAGCAGAGAATAGGTCACGAATATGGGGGATGAGGTGGAGGAGGTACTGCAGCCTTCCTGTTAAATGGTGATTCTCAGCTAGGATAATGAGCATTCACAAGATGGAAAATCACTTTGGGGCGATCCTGGCCTGGGCCATGAGGCATGGTGTCCCCCTCACCTTCAACTGGGAAGCTGGGAGGAGATGCACACCAGCCCCAATGCCCACCCCAGTCTAAAGCCTCAAAGAGCTCAGAACTAGAGGGCTCACAGGATCACCTGCTCCAGTTCCTCAATTCAAACCATGAGGAAACCCACGAAATGGCTGTCAGGCAAAGAAAAAAAAAAAAGATTTGTCCAAGGTCACAGAATCTATCTTTGGTTGCTGTAGGTCCGGCTAAAGGTCTTCCTGGTCCTGGCCCTGTGTTCTTGCCCATCAAGAGTGACATAGAGTTTCTAAAAATGGTTCTGACCTCAGCTGCCTTTCCTGTGCTCCTCTTGTGGTTCAGATCTGGCCATGAGAATGCAGACCCAGCCACAACCAGTGCAAGCCCAGGTCGAGGCTCTAAGACAGCAGAAGAGCAGGCAGAACCTTAGGTACCCCATGTCCCAGGGATCTAGAGACACCACACCCATCCCAAGGTCCTTAAATCAGACTCAGTGCCTAACCTCTCCCTCCACACACCCTTCCCAAACCTCTCCATTTTTCTCCCTCCTTCCCAATCTCCATTCTTTATTTCTTCCCCCTCTCCTCCCAGCCTCCTCAGGTCTTCACAACAACCAAGCCTCTAGCCACTCCCCTCCACCCTAGCCTCCCAGCCCTCTCCTCTGGAGAATGCAGCTGCCTCCTGTACTTCCCCCTAAGTCTTTTCTGCCTGCTCCATGCATATCACCAGAACTGATCAGGTCACACTGCCTCAGCTCAAAGCTCTTGCTGGCTCTCCACACCCGCTGGACAACAGCCATTCCCCATTCGGCCTGGCCCCAAGAGGTAGTTTCCAAGGTCCCTCCACCTGTCCCATACTCTGTTCATTCTGGTTGCTATCCAGAACACGGTAGACACCCAACCTTTTATCTCAAAGCCTGACATGTCCACTATCATAACTCCAAAGAAAGTTCACTCGTCAGTCTTAGAGATCAGCTCAAAGGCAGCCTCCTAGAGGTGGCCCTCTGAGATTCCTGAGTAAAGGGCCCTCTCACTCTTCTGGGCCCTGACCCTAGGCCCAGGACACAAGCCAGTGGCCATTCCTATTCACATTTTCAGACCTTAATGCCCTTTCCCAGGTCCATCTCAGTGCAGGCCATCTCCTGGGCATCTCAAGACCCAGTCCAAAGCCTGGACTAGACAACTCCCATCAACTCAGTGCCAACTCAACTATTCTCTCCAGCAACTCCAAAGACTCAAACTCTCAGGAAGGCTGATGGCCAGAGGGCAGGAGAGCCATGGCCTAGATGGGGCCTTCCTCAGTCTGTTTGCTGATTCCACATCTGACCTCACATCCTTTCCTCAACTTCCCCAGAGCTTGCAGAAAAAAGGAGCCTCTGCAGCAGGACTTCAGGAGGTCTCACAAATATCCCCACCTCAAACAGAACCTGTTTCCTAACATCGGACATCCTTTTACCAAGGACAAAACTTTTAAAAGTAAATTAGAGTTGAACCAGTCAAAGTGGCACATACCCATAGTCCCAGCATTCAGGAGGCTAAGGCAGGAAAATCGCTTGAGCCAGGAATTCCAGGTCAGCCTGGGCAACATAGCAAGACCCCGCTCCTTAAAAATAAATAAATAAATACCAATAATGGAGTTGTTGAGCTGGGGATGTAGCTCAGTGGCACAGTGCATGCTTGGCATGCTTAAAGCCCTCGGTTTAATCCCCAGTGTCAAAATAAAATAATAAATTTAGAGTTGTGTGGGACTGGTATTTATTTCTCCTTAAATATTCATTCAATAAGCCAGGCAGTATGGCGTACACCTGTAATCCCAGCAGCTCAAGCAGGAGGACTGTGAGTTCAAAGCCACAAATAGGACTGGGGATATGGCTCAGTGGTCGAGTGCCCCTGAGTTCAATCCCTGGTACCCCCCCCAAAAAAAAAAAAAAAAAAATTCAATAAGAATTTAGTGATGCCATCTTGGCCTTAAAAGTTTTCTCTGTGAGAAGATTTTAGATATAGGACTATACAGATTTTCTGTTTCTTATTGAGTCAGCATTAATTTGTGTCTTTCAAGGAATATGTATTTCACCTACTGCTGGCATAAAGTGATTTACATTATTCCCTTACTACCCTTTTAGTGTCCTCGAGAACTGTG